TAATGGGGATATTGTTAAAAGGAGTGCCTTATGTAGTGGGGACATGGTCATAAAGAGGGCCTTATGTAGTGGGGACATGGTCATAAAGAGGGCCTTATGTAATGGGGATATTGTTATAGTGTCTATTGTAGTGGGGAGATTGTCATAAAGATTGTATTATGTAGTGGGGACATTGTTAAAAGGAGTGCCTTATGTTGTGGGGACATGGTCATAAAGAGGGCCTTATGTAGTGGGGACATGGTCATAAAGAGGGCCTTATGTAATGGGGATATTGTTATAGTGTCTATTGTAGTGGGGAGATTGTCATAAAGATTGTATTATGTAGTGGGGACATTGTTAAAAGGAGTGCCTTATGTAGTGGGGACATGGTCATAAAGAGTGCCTTATGTTGTGGGGACATGGTCATAAAGAGTGCCTTATGTTGTGGGGACATGGTCATAAAGAGCGCCTTATGTAATGGGGATATTGTTATAGCGTCTATTGTAGTGGGGAGATTGTCATAAAGATTGTATTATGTAGTGGGGACATTGCTATAAAGAGTGCCTTATGTAGTTGGGACATTGCTATAAAGAGTGCCTTACGTAGTTGGGACATTGCTATAAAGAGTGCCTTATATAGTGGGGACATTGCTATAAAGAGTGCCTTACGTAGTGGGGACATTGCTATAAAGAGTGCCTGAAGTAGTGAGGACATTGCTATAAAGAGTGCCTTACGTAGTTGGGACATTGCTATAAAGAGTGCCTTATGTAGTGGGGACATTGCTATAAAGAGTGCCTTATATAGTGGGGACATTGCTATAAAGAGTGCCTTAAGTAGTGAGGACATTGCTATAAAGAGCGCCTTATGTGTTGGGGAAATTGCTATAAAGAGTGCCTTATGTTGTGGGGAAATTGCTATAAAGAGTGCCTTATGTAGTGGGGACATTGCTATAAAGAGTGCCTTATGTAGTGGGGACATTGCTATAAAGAGTGTTTTACGTAGTGGGGACATTGCTATAAAGAGTGCCTTATGTAGTGGGGATATTGCTATAAAGAGAGCCTTACGTAGTGAGGACATTGCTATAAAGAGTGCCTTATATAGTGGGGAAATTGTTAAAAGGAGCTTAATGTAATGGGGATATTCATATTGTTTTCGTTATCAAATACATTGTAAATAACAAAACTGATGTGTCAAGTATTATCTATCAGTCCCTTCAGCATGAACCTGACAGTGGTGGTGGAGCATGCTGACACAGCTGACACAGCTCACCGTACTGATCAGAAATATAACACAAGTTCTTGAAGACATGAAACTTTGATGGATAACAACTTCTTCATTGTTATCAATAACAGTATCATGTCTCCATGTTCTTCCACCTTCTAAATGCCCGACAAAGACTTCATACCGGTTATACCATTACAGCACATTGCATAATACATTACACCAGATTGTATTCCACAAATAAGCTCTACAGGAGCGTGACAGTGGATTGTATTCCACAAATAAGCTCTACAGGAGCGTGACAGTGGATTGTATTCCACAAATAAGCGCTACAGGAGCGTGACAGTGGATTGTATTCCACAAATAAGCGCTACAGGAGCGTGACAGTGGATTGTATTCCACAAATAAGCTCTACAGGAGCGTGACAGTGGACTGTATTCCAAAATAAGCTCTACAGGAGCGTGACAGTGGATTGTATTCCACAAATAAGCTCTACAGGAGCGTGACAGCGGACTGTATTCCACAAATAAGCTCTACAGGAGCGTGACAGTGGATTGTATTCCACAAATAAGCTCTACAGGAGCGTGACAGTGGATTGTATACCACAAATAAGCTCTACAGCAGCGTGACAGTGGATTGTATTCCACAAATAAGCTCTACAGGAGCGTGACAGTGGATTGTATTCCACAAATAAGCTCTACAGGAGCGTGACAGTGGATTGTATTCCACAAATAAGTTCTACTGAAGCATGACAGTGGATTGTATTCCATAGATAAGTACAATGCAGCGTGACAGTGGATTGTATTCCATAGATAAGTTCTACTGAAGCGCGACAGAGGATTGTTTTCTAGAAATAAGATCTACTGAAGCATGACAGTGGATTGTTTGTCACAAGTTCTACTAAAGCGCGACAGTGGATTGTTTTTTATAAATAAGTTCTACTAAAATGTGACATTGAATCGTGATAAACATACAATTCTACTGAAGAGTGACAGAGGCTTGTATTCCATATAAAAGTTCTACTGAATCATGACTGGACTTTTCAGCATACAAGTTCAACTGAAGTATGACCACAGATTGTATTCTGAATACAATTCCAAATAAAAAGTGACAGTGAACTATATTTCATACAAGTTCTATTTGAAACTGACAGAAGATTGCCATCTACATAGTAACAACATTAATAGCCTCTAACATCACACGTGACAATACCCACATATATCCAACATTAATTTACATAAACAATAGAAAGACATCATTACCTGCATAGTGACTGTGGTCATGGTGACAAGAATGTCGTCATGGCGACAAAATGAGATAGCTCTGGCTCAGATCCTAATATTGGTCTCCAGTAAAAGTTCTAGCACTTTTTGAAAGGTAAGTTTTTATATATGAACAGGACAGGTGCCTTCCCATGGTGAAAGACCTTGCAATGCGATAGAAACCTAGCCAAGTAAAGGACATGTGCTAAAAGGAAACAACCATTTGACATTGGGCCATGAGATTAGATATTTTCTTCCAGAGGATGCTGGTTAGGAAAAACATTAAATCAAATGGTACCAGCAATTTATTCAGTGGACAGGCTGGAAGTCCTGCAAAAAAGACAAGCCAGCTTATATCAGAAAAATAAATAGAATGTTTCGGAACAGTGAAGAAGAAATATTCTTTCCTCACACAAATCCTTGGCTGCCAGAGAATAATAAATGGTCAGTACCTTACTTGTTTAGATATATGCCAGTGTAGAATAATACTGCTGTCCTAGAAGACAATATAGATATGATGTAGACAGAGAGTGCGTAAACAGCACCAGTACCAACCTTGTTGTCATGGCAACTCTTTGGTAGTAAAACAGCAACATGGCAGTGACGTGATGGATGGAATCATGTGACACGGTTAACAGTCAAAACAACTAGCACCAGTCACCTGTCCAGACTTTGGGGGATGCTCTCAGGTCACTGGACAGTCCATGCAAGTCTTATTCAAGTCGTTCGAGCATCACTTTGTCAACAAACATATCTGGTTGTCAAGGAGAATGGGTGTTTCCACACAGATAATGCCTCAATTTCACACAAGACATCATTCAGATGTCTGGACTTGTTTGTTTGTTGTTTAACGCCGAACTCAGCAATATATCAGCTATATGACGGTGGTCTGTAAATAATCGAGTCTGGACCAGACAATCCAGTGATTGATATCATGAGCATCGATCCACACAATTGGGATACGATGACATGCATCAACCAAGTCAGCGAGCCTGACCCCCCGATCCCCCGATCCCAGTGAGTTGCCTCTTAAGCGGCCAGACATGGTATTCTGGGATTGGATTGGGAGTTTTTGGAATATAAATATTTTCCAGAAAATACTGGAAACAACTAATTTTGCTGCAAGTTTTAAAAAATATTGTTCAGTGGACATGATGAAAGTTATAAAATACCTGTAGTGTAAAAACTATTCTTGGCTCTGTTTTTTAGAGAAACTATTTGGAAACAGAGACATCAGCTTGTGGTGTATGGTCTCTCTGTTAGATCCCTTGACACCTTCCATGGAACAGAACCAGTTGGTTTAGATGCTTGTTTCACTGATTCTTACCACCTTGGTATCGGGGACCATGTGTTCATGTAATACTTAGGGGTTGGGGTTGTCCATAGGTCAGGCAGTGTGTAGGGGAACGGGGTCGCGGATGTCGGAATATAATGCTGTTTATTTGGCGATAGGCTGAGTCAGACGAATGTCGGACATTACCTTAAACACAAACCTTCATAACTGAGGATCATGATGCATTTGAGCGTGAATGAGTGAGTTTGGTTTAACATCGCTTTTAACAGTATTCCAGTTATGTCACGGCGTGTCAGCTTAATGTGTGAGGAAAGCCCAAAGTGATGCAGGTCTCAGACATTTACCACTTCAGTGAAACCCACGAGCACGGGTATGGTGCTTACAAACCTAGAAACAATCGGGGCGAACTGGGATTCGAACCCACAATCATAGGTTCCTGGCGTGCCCAAGGGACGCAACTCTGCACAGCGAATCGCAGCGACTTAGACGACTGGGCCTCCTGTGCCCCCCTGATGCATTTGAGACACACCAAAGAATAAAAACTTCATTTGGAGATTGCAACTGGTTCCCGTCTGTGTGTGTGAGAGAGGGTGTGTGTGTATAATGCTGTGGGTGTGGGGGTACAATGCTGAGGGTGATGGATTGTAAAGCTACTGGTTCCATAGGACGGGGTACCTTTACATTGTGTCAAGGAGAAAATAGTGACAAAATGCTATCATGTTCTTCTTACGACAATGAAACCAACTGGATCAACCCGAAAACAGCTGGATACAAAATTGAACTCCAAACCTACTAATGTGACTTTTCTGGCATTCCAAAACAATATCAGTTTAAAAATATTGTACCTGTATTATAGGTTGTCCTAATTAGGCTACTACAATCATACCTACTCACTACTGATCTTACCCTGATGAGTGAGTGAGTGTGATTTTATGCCACTTTTTGCAATAGTCAAGCAATATCATCGCAGGGGACCCCAGAAATATGCCTCACATATTTTACCCATGTGGGGAATAAAACCAGAGCCTTCAGTGAGACAAAATTAACCACTTTAACCACTAGGCTACCCCACTGCCCCCTTAAATATATACTAACATAACCTAGTATACAAATTTCTCAAATTTGCAGCCTACCGACAGCACTCAAATAACTCTCTAAGTTTAAGCTATCAAATGACACCAACCTAGTGTTGATTCAAATTAACAAGTACAAATATCGAGTTCTTAAGGTGTGTAAATATTTTCAAGGAGAATAATACAAATGTTGGCATCATGTTCACAAGACTATCAAGTTCATTTAAAGATGAAGAATTCATACATTCAGTACATAGTTACATGGTCGCATTATTTGCGATGTAAGGTGCCTGCCACCAGTACCCACGGAGGATGCTTCCAGCAGGTGATGAGGCCAGCCTGGGACACCATGGGAAACAAGCTCTGTCAAACCTACTGTGCTGCTGGCCATTGTTGTCTCAGTAAACTCACCGGATTTAACACTGATCCCACAAATCAGCAGTGAAACCTCAGAAGTACTCCAATATGTGCATGCTGTTGCCTAGCAACCAGAGACAGACCAATCTGTGTGGAGAAATGTGCAGTAGATGGACTGTTGAGAACTAGACACCTAACCCCCAGACACACACCACCGTCAGGACGTGACTTGCAGCAACCATCTCGGGCTACTTCCCCATGCATACCTATCATAATCCTCGGAGCCAGGCCCTATCACTAAGACAATCCAAAGTCCCATACTTAAACATTAGGCTCACCCCAGTTCTGGGACCACTTGGTGGAACAAGGCCCTAAGAGCTCTTGTCCTATCTTGTCAACACTTAGTCCAAAGAACGAACAGATATATATAGGAAAATATATTGATGCTGTTGGTTCTCTTGTGGCCCTGACCAATAGACTTCTTAAATGATAATTACAAACACAGTATTCTTTAGCTTTAACATTTTGTGTAAGAGTTTGTACGAGACTGTCATTTCCAAATGGTAAAATGACTGTCTGTACATTAATCAAAATACTTCACTGGTCCTTGAAAATGAAAATCTTTCCTAGACTGGGCCCATGGACCAGCATTTGTGGCTGCTTGAGCATCCTATTTCATACCATCAAGCCATTGTTAATCTTACTTCACCAGTCTCTTGCTACACTACATCCAAAAGTAGATCAACCATCCTTGTCAACCATCTCCATTTATTTCAACCACAAGGATCAACCATTCACTATCCTCATTTGAACATGGGCTATTTACTCGAAGGGGTATCAAAATATTCAATAACTACTAGGGCCACGTTTATCAAAGTGATTGTAACACTACGTCTTCTGTAACTCACATACTTTAACACAGACTTACGACAGTCGTAGAGCGACAATCACAGGGTCCTACAAAGTGATCACAGCACTACGTCTACTGTAACTCATATACCTTAACATAGACTTACACGAATAAGTGCTAAAATCACAGGGCCCAGATGATAAACTGTTCAAATTACATTGTGATGACGAATTATTTGGGATTAGCTGTTAATGAGATAGTACATAACGACTACAATAATCTGTCCTGGTGTATAACAGAGACACGTACTTGAGAAGAAACAGGAAGGCTAACTTTGGTATCTAAATGTAGCTGTTATAAAGTGTATCAAACGTGGGAATATAAGACATATATCCAACATGACGTAGCACCATGAAACAGCGTATATTATTACTGGTCATGTCATTTAAAGCTGAAACGTCTTCTAATGTCTACGAACGGGGAGATATAACGGATATACAGCAGGGTGTATATATATGATCAAGGGCAGACAACTCACAGGGTTATACATGTTATCACATGTTATTGCTGGGACTGGCCTGGGTGTACAGAAGTAAGGCTAGCTGTGTGTAAAGGACGTGTACACACCATATAAGGCTACTGGACATGGGATACACAGCTCACACCGTGTCACAACATCCTCACAGCATCATCGCTCTTGCAATGTCCAGGGTTTTACAGGATGTGTAAACATGCATCCATTACATGCAAAAGCATGGTTTACAGACAGAAAATAAAGAACTGGGATGCACAAAATAGTAAACACTTTTCATGAAATTTATTAATCTTAATCTTGGTTTGTTTATTTGTTTGTTTGTTCTTTAATGCCGCACTCAGCAATATTCCAGCTATATGACGGCAGTCTGCAAATAATTGAGTGTAGACCAGACAATCCAGTGAATGATATCATGAGCATCGATCTATGCAATTTGGATACAATGACATGCATCAACCAAGTCAGCCAGCCTGACCACCCGATCCCAGTTTGTTGCCTCTTACGATAAGCATAGTCACCTTTTACGGTCTGGACTGGAATAAGCGGCCGGACATGATATTCTTGGATTAAATTGGGAGTTTTGGAATATAAATATTTTCCAGAAAATACTAGAAACAACAAACGTTGCTGCGAGTTGACTGACCAACCCGATCCCATTAGTCGCCTCTCATGACAAGCATATATATCACTGATTTGAAAGTCCCAGTCACTTCATAAACACATGTTCATTATCATGATCACAATATCATTTATGTCACGTCATATCTAATTGTTTTAAGTTTTTTTATAAGTAGTGTGGCCCCTCACATATCTCACCAGGACCCTGGACATGTAAAGGATGCTCTGGACCCAGTTTAACAACACGGTAAAACCCTGAACATGACAACAACGTCACAACGTCACAACAACACAGTGTGGAAGCTGATGCATCATACACCTGGACCTGCACACAGATGTTCTGCACAAACAGTTCTTGCTCATCTGTGTGAACATGGAGGGTGTTGCCAGGCAACATTAAGTATTCAGTGTAACCATGGTAACACCTTACATCACCAATGTTACATCACCACTGACCGATGGCAGCTGACTGGCATATATTCCATCTGACGTCAACACGTAGTTCCAAGTGTTTGGACCAGTTGGTAGGATAATAGTATGCAATAATAGGTTATGTACAAAGCAGTAACACAGCCAATATAAATAATGGAAGGAAAACATCTACAAAGCCATTTGCAAAATAAACAATATAACAAAAAAGGCACAAGTTCAAAAAGGCTAAATGAAAAATAAAACCCAGATATATATATTCTTTCTACATCAGGCAAATAAAAAATTACATTTTCAACTGCACGTTCCAAGAACTATGGCATAAGATCCTCTTCCAAAGTGTCTCACAGACTGCACAATAGACAGTGTAAGTATTACTGCTGGTCTGTCAAGTAGAGAATCAATGACGTACACTACCTTAATAATATGTATTGGTTTTGTCCGTAGTATTACTTTTAAGGGTTCATAACAATAATCTTCTCATAACTACCTCTTCCCAGATAGTCGCCATGTTGATATGGCTATTTAACTGACACCAGCATTATCTTTTTTTCTTACAAACGTTTATTTTGTTTAAATAGAAAATTTTGAGTCTGCAGCTTTATAATGTTTAAAAAAAGGTTTTAACTGAATTCAAGATTGAGATGCCAAGAACTGAAGCAATTAACCTACCAGTCAAAATCATATTTTTATCATTTCATGTAAATATGCCGATAATTGTAACAACAAAATAAACAAGTAAATTATAAAACAAAACAATATCACTACCTTTACATGAACAAATGTAATCACATAAATTGTAAAAAATCTTTGCAAATAAATAATCATGTACAATTAAATCAACATGTTCATCCGTCCTGTATTGACCCTCGAAGGTGTCTTCACGATGCTCATCTCCTTGCTGCCGCCTCCAGTCATGTGACTTGCTCTTCACCAATCAGAATCAAACTACCCAGCTATGCAGCGACTTCAGCCACTTCTAGCGTAAACTGTCTACAGTATATTATCCCACCAACCAAAGCTCTCACCTAATCTGTCCATTGCTCATTGTAAATATCCCTGTTCAAACCAACCAATTTCATCTTACTTGTACGTACAATGATGAACTAAGGCCATTAAATTAACTGCCTCGGTGAGCCTAATATCATTACAATTTCAGAACTCTGATTCAAAATTTCATTAAAACTTTATACTCTCAGATCTTAAATCTTATAAGCACTCTGTCCATCGTCCGATATACCAACAAAAATCTCTTAACCAAGAAATGAAAAACTTTTGGCCAACAATACAGTGCTCAACTTTTGAGAGGGATTGGGAGAATCCAGATGGGGTCTCAATGGGATTGATTGATCAGATATGTTGTCGTGCAAATAGTATTCAACTTTGCTATGGAACTAAGCTATCAATTCTAGTTGATTAAACATAAACACACAGTTCAATAAGTTTTTGCCGTTATCTTATGTCACAGAATTAAGTATCATGGTATCAAATATTGAGAAGAATATTTTCATTAACTTTCAGTCCAAAGAGATTCATGAAATCACGGACTTGTTATATATAGGTCCGTGATGAAATCCAGAAATTTTCTTAAAATTAATTTAAATCAGTAGTCATAGTCTCAGGACTAGGACAGGGTATTTTTATGGAATATGTTCCTATCAACAGCCTGCAAATTAACATTCCCATAATGAGTGATGAAACGTTTGTACTAAATCAATATCAGGTCTTCCATCACTGTCACCAGAAGATTTGTGTGTTACATTAACAGGTGCCCTCCACCCCGCCATCCACAATCTGTTCCACTCATTATGCTACATAACAATGGTAAAACATGTCTTGAAAACTATCAATGATATTGCATATTATCCCATGATGCAGTAGTTTCAAACTGTCCAATCAGCTTTGGCTGTCTGTAGCATGGTCATGGAGCCTGAGATTGACTTCAGCAAGGGAGATAACTCTGTGCTATACAGTTGTGTGTTTCCTGAATTCCAATGAGACAGAGTTCACACAGTATCGGACACCGGTCGGCTTGGGTCCGTCGTCGAACACGTGGCCGAGGTGGGACTGGCAATCTGCACATCGAACCTCCATCTTCTTCAGACCTGGAATCAGAACATCCCCTGTACAACATCATCTAAACCATGGCTTCTTTGATTGGACAACACTGAACTGTCAGATAAACACAACTTAGAAATGATGCAAGTTCATGATTTCCCTATCATTTACCTTGACGAACAATTTTCCCAAATATGTTGCCAGCAGCATTCATTAACCAATGTGGTCTCTGCTAAGGCAAGATTGAAGATATTACTTAGACTTAACAATGACATATTTCCTGTTATCAAGACAAAGAGTTAATCTGTTTATGAACGGGAAATTTCTTGTTCAGTATTTTATTCTATACACTGTCTTGGTAGCATTTCAGTAAACTTTTCTTGATCGGGGCTATGAATAATAAATATAATAGTCTCATATAATTATAAATATAATAGGCCTATCAACATGGGCAAGTAATATTTAGGTGATTGGAAAATGTGCTTCAATTGTGCTTGCCCCCAATCACAAGAGAGCAAGATGCACATCTAAAAGGCTTGGGTAACATATTTCCAGTTTCTCACAGTTAAAGATAGAGTTCTTGAATATTTTTTTAAATATAGTTATCAAAACAATGTTGCTAATAAATACAGTCATGTGATAAGTTCTTTGAATGCTGGCCGTGGTTTAAAAGACCAACCGTATTCCATTTTTAATCATTGAATGTTCATGGTTTTAACTGACCATTTCAACGATTAATCATCGTATCCTTGTGGGTGGATTCAGAGACAGTGTTCCTATCGACTTAAATCATGACATGAACAAAACAAAACAAAACAAAACAAATGAGCTGTGACTAGTTGGATATGACAAATGGTGTCTATCCCTGACCAGCCTGTTCAATATCACCAGTAAAGTTTATTTGCAACGGCTGCCATTAGTCACAAGTTGACAACTAATAATTAATAAGCTTTAAAAAATAAAAGAATTTGATCTCAGGCAATGGTTTTTGAAAATATAGTGTGCGTGGGCGGTGTCTTTTTTGGGGGGGTTCAAACTAGTATGTCACCAATAAACAGTTGTGTAATCAATAAACAATTGTGTACAATCAACCTGGGAAAGGGCCTTCCTACATAAATGTATTCCTTGATGAGTAAAATACTGGAATACAGTATTTGACTACCGTTGGACTTGGAATTTTTAACGATTTTTTTATTTTTTTCTTAAAACGGAAATAAAAACGAAACGTGCGGGGAACGTTATGATGATGCAGGCGGTGCCTGATAATCAAGACTATTTTTTTTATAGCATAAGATGTTTATGTCTGTGTTATTGTGGATCTGTTATTTAAAATCAGTTTGTTAGCTGCTGCAGAAAGTACTGTTACTCATTCATCTCCATCCTCACACTTCAGAGTCAGTCTCTCTTATATAAGTTGACCCAAGTAATGATAACATCTGGCCTACACAATATCACATACTGAGGGCTCAACCAATTGATACATGATGTAAGAGTTGTACCAGAAAAGATATCATGTATCTACTGCGTATAATACACAGCAAGTGGCTTGTTCCTCTTTCCAGTATCCATACCAACCCATATTTCAACATAAGCATTTGAGTTTTTATTACCTGCTTACAGATTCACCTACTAGCTATTTCACCAATGTGGAATACAATATTATATATGTAGGGCTGGGTATCACTTGGTATCTTGCAATACAATTTGTATTATGATACGGAGTGATGATACTACACGTACCACGATACACCACATCAAACAGAAGGAAATCATTTAAATACAGCTTCATACATTTATTTATTGTTATTTGGAAAACTTTAACAATGAAAACCACAACAAAAAGAAGCTTGGGATGAAGTGATTGTCCTAAAATGTAACAGTAAGTGGGCGTGCCCTCAGTCACAACGTCCTTGTGTTCTGCCATGCTTACAGGTGGCGCTGTGCTACTTCTGCCATTATGGTAGGTAACTCAATTAGTTTCTGTTCTATCTTAACTCACATACTGCCGATTTAAGTACCGAGGGCGCCCAAGTATCGATGATATCATAGGTGTCAAAAAATCATTACAGCCCTAATTTGGAGGGCAGTCATTATTTTCGTCTCAAGAAGGCTGCATAGGCCTGTCAAGTGGTATAACAGACAGAATCAGTATTAGAAATTGGCACTAGTCCTATAGTCCTTGCCAAATTGCCCAATAGTTAAGGTATCATAAGGACTAGTAGAAATTTGCTATTTTGTGGGGTTTTGCTATATGTTATCATTTTAAGGACTAGTTGACTAAAACAGTTAGTTTCTATCACTGCAGAATGTGTGTAATAGTTGGTACCACTGATTACTGGTACCGGAATGTTAAGCACTAATGTAAAACTATTCAAATATTTTTTAACCTATTTACTATACCATTAAGTGATTATCTAATAAAATGAGTTTTCCCTTTTACTACGGACTCAAAGTTTTTCAGAAAACAGCCTTCAATCAAACTGTAACATGTACAAGGCTTTATCAGAAAACACACCAACAAATCAATCAAATCTTGTTTATTGTCTCTCCTGTCACCATTTACCTACAGGCGACAAACACCAACAGGAACTATCAAGTCTCACACAGAACCATCAGGTAATCGTGGATCACTGCTCAGTGACTCTTTTGCTTCATAACAATGTTATCTACTTCCTGGTTCAAATACACAGGTGATGTGCTTGTGGGTATCATAAGAATTACCAAGCTTACTGTCGCATCAGACCAGCAATTGGCTTTGTTGTGTGTGCCTAGTGGGTGAGTGGGTCGGTGGTGATTACAATGTCCTGAGGACCCTCGTAATAAAAAAGTCTCAGTATCCTACTTATGAGGCCCAGGATGTGCCGTGTGTTGATAGGGATTGTGTAGCAGGGCGTGGAGATATCCCACAAATGACACCGTGCCCCCTGATAGGGTTAACGTCTTCGGTCATGAGGACAAAATGTCCACCCTCAGATGAGAAGGTCAGACTTAAATCCCTCAGGAATCTGACATTTTATGTCCGCTACACATAGCATGAACGGGTCACACTAGCAGATGAACAGAGTTACCGTATTTGACGTAATAAGCGCCCAGGGCGCTCTCAAAATTAGAAATAGGAGGTCTTATTAGAATAACATTTTGGTGAGATTAAAACGATTGTAAATTTTGTGGTTTATGCTGACAGCCTGAAATGATATGAAAGAAGAATCTGTGTGTATTATACACAATAGATATATTTTCGAGAATTAAATTGCCCATAATTAAGGGACTGGTGCACATAACAAACGATTGTGTATTATACACGAATAAATAAGTCTTGTGTACATTGATCAATCGGAAACGGTGCTAACTGGGATTGTTCACTAGCCATTACATTAGCAAATAACGCCGTGGGCGCTTATTACGTCGAATACGGTAGTTTCATTCAGTCCACTTACACCTGTGACCACAACACACTGTTGTCATAATCATAAACAACTTGGATATTCTAATCTTTTCAAAACTCTGACATGCAATGTGCGGCAGAGATTGTGTGAGGAAGGCCGTGCAAGCATGTGTCCTACCACACAAAGATGAAAATGTATTTTTCTTCAAATGTGCCACAGTGTACTCTCAAAGAACAATTCCAGTGTGCCACACTCATGAAACACAAAGTCTGCCGACACAACTACTTCTGGTAGTATCCATTACAGTCTGATAACACCATTGTACTTGGTAACACACTGCAGGTTGCTGTGACATTCACATGTACTGTTGCCGACAGCAGGGTTTATGAAGCGGAGCCGAGATCTCCATGCATCAATATATTATTTAGAGATTCTATTACTGTACTTAAATGAACTTAAATGAACCTTTAGGGTTAGAACTGAAGTTCAGTTACTTATATAGCCCACTAGTTGTCTTGTCAAATGGGCTACACTCCTGAGTGTGTTGTGAGTGAGTTGGATGTTGTGATACTCTATAGTTGGTTGCTTGGTTTGTTGTTTAACGCCGAACTCAGTAATATTCCAGCTACATGACGGCGGTCTGTAAATAATCGAGTCTGAACCCGACAATCCAGTGATTAATATCATGAGCATCGATCCACGCAATTGGGATACGATGACATGCATCAACCAAGTCAGCGAGGCTGACCACCCGATCCCGTTAGTCGCCTCTTACGATAAGCATAGTTGCCTTTTACGGCAAGCATAGGCTGCTGAAGACCTATTCTACCCCGGATCTTGATGGGTCAATACTCTATACAAGCACTGCACTCATTGCAAGTCGGTGATGCAGTCAGAGGAAGTGATGCAGATGATAGGAGATGGGGAACCAACCAAGTGTTTTGGAAAGAAATATTTTTTTCAACACTGCACCGACATATTTTCTCTGAAAGAAGAAGCCAAACACTTCTGTGGGGACCAACATCACATTTCTATTGAGAACATCTAGTGAACAGTTATTTAGGGTTTTTTAAAAGTTGAGTCAAACTTGTTATTTTTTCCATCACATCCTGAATTAAATCATACTTTCAAAAGAATCCCTCCTCCCTACCAGAAATATCAAATGGTTTACCCATCACTGGCGTGCACAGAAGCAGTGTGCATTAGACAGGGTTCCCCTGAAGACAGATAATGAATAGCTGAGAGTGAAGAGGATGTCTAATGTAAAAACCAAAAATTTTATTGTGTGATAATAGCCAAAATATGGGATTTATTGCTTTGATGTGAAAGAGGTTTTCAAAGAAACTACTGTCTTCCCTCGCTATTGTGCACTTCATTATAGTGCTACCTCAGTTATAGCCAATGGTAACACATGGCTCCCAAACATTATGTACAGTTTGGATAAACTCAAGTTTTACACTGACACAGTGTTTTACTATCGCAAAAATACATTACCAGCTGATCATCACAAGCACGTAACACTGGAAATACCAGTCATCAAATCTGAACTGAAGTACACAATTTAATCCTATTAATACACTATCTCGTTAGGCTAAACAAAATAATAGTCTTGGTTCTCAGGAACCGCAAACATCATCATAAAGTTTGCCACACGCTTCCTTTTTATTTTTATTTTAAAAAAATCCTTTAATATTCCAAGCCCAACAGTAGTCAAACACTAGTCCAGTATTTTACTCATCAAGGAATATATTTATGTAGGGAGGCTCTTTTCCAGGTTGATTGTACACAATTGTTTATTGGTAACATACTAGTTTGAACAACCCCCCCCCCCCAAAAAAATAGAAAAAAAAAAGACACCGCCAGCCTGCACAATATTTTCAAAAACCATTGCCTGAGAACAAATTCTTTTATTTTCATAAATCTTATAGAAACATATGTTTATAATATATTTTATTCAAACTTTTATTCCATTTTGTTTATATCAATTTTGGAGAAATCATGTGAGTACTGACTGTCAGAGCCCACTTACTTGCCAACCACGATCAGATTACCACTTTTAATGCCTTGAACAAACCTTAGTGGTCAGAGAAGGGATATATATCACAAATGCCATACTTTGGCTTGTCAAAACTCATATTTGTGGCAGTTTGACTATTACATTTCAACATAACATTTCGCATGTAGCGTGTGAAGTTCCTATGGTGATGGGCCAAATTGTTCCACACATAACAAATACCCAGCAATACAAATCGGGTGTCCCAGAGTGCTACGATTATGGTTCTAATAATTTTAAATATATATAATAAAAGCTCCAACTAAAATAACATGATATTGGAAAATATTATTCCTGATAAAATAATAATTTCAGATACAATTTATATCTGCATATAAAACAATGCCTTGGAGAGCAGGAAAACCAATTTAATTGGTAAATGTCTAGTAATGTTTTATCTCAATTTTCAAATTTTTATTGACCAAGTTTGTTACAAATTTTCGTCCACTAGAATTCGCTGAAGGGAAACAATGTCGGTTTTTTTAGATTAAAATTAAATTAAGAATTTTTATAACGCATTTTCCAATTAACACCTGCTCAAATGTTCTTAGACCATGATTGATCTATTCAAAGCCTCTCTTGAAGAAAAAGGTTGTGAGTGTCTTTTTAAAGTTTGTCAGAGTTTCTGTTTCTCTGATTTTGTTGTGGCAGATTGTTCCATGGCAGTGGGCCAGCACGTTGGAATCTTTTGATCTTTTGATCATAGAGAATGTGCAGACTTTCACCGTGTATAACACTCTCTAAATCTTTTTTCATGCAGTGAATCATGAACAACTTCCATACAGCGTTCGAAATACCTGCCTGCCCGACCGTCCCAGACGGGTTGATTTCAACTCGGGCAGCCAGATTTTCTAGTCCCCCTGCCCGACGGTCGGGTTATATTTCACAGGTGAAAATATTCTAAATATTTCCCGATGATAAGCATTAATTCACATGTAAAGATGAATGATAAAATGTAACCAAAAAGAAACTCTGTTAGCTTTTAGACAACCTAACATTTAGCAATGCGCTTATGCTACAAGCAATCAGTTTTCATATTTTTAATTAAATTATCCTGAGAAACATATGATTATAGTGGGCAGGCAGGTTTTGGTCAGGGCTGGCAAGTATTTCAGCTAGCCAGTCCTGTGGTCTGGCTGAAATTTTTGGGAGTTTCATACCCTGTTCTATATTCTAATCTTTTTCAGACTCTGATATGCAATGTGTGGAATAGATTATGTTAGGTAGGCCGAGCGAACATATACTGTTGTGTTGGTCATCTCCTGCCTAAGACACCACCTCGGTTAAGCCGCTGAAAGTCTATAAAGCTAATCAATTATTTGGAGTGAGTGAGTGAGTGAGTATGGTTTTACGCCGCTTTTAGCAATATGCCAGCAATATCACGGCGGGGGACACCACAAATGGGCTTCACACATTGTACCCATGTCGGGAATCGAACCCGGGTCTTCGGCGTGACGAGCTAACGCTTTAACCACTAGGCTACCCGACCGCCCCAATTATTTGGACCCCAAATGTAGTGGAGTAGCAAGGAATCACTGTATATCACATGGTTGGTAGCTAACCACTTTGGTGAAACCCTCAAGCAGAGGCTAGTATGGTACTGACAAACCATGAGCATCAGCATGGAATCAGTGCAGTGCATTGTGGCGCCATCTACCACTAGGCCACATTCAATAAGAAGGAATGACTTCTCTAGAACCTTGTTCACATGATTCATAATCGAATCAGTGCAGTGCATTGTGGCGCCATCTACCACTAGGCCACGGTCAATGAGAAGGAATGACTTCTCTAGAACCTTGTTCACATGATTCATAATCGAATCTGTGTAGTGCATTGTGGCGCCATCTACCACTAGGCCACGGTCAATGAGAAGGAAAGACTTCTCTAGAACCTTGTTCACATGATTCATAATCGAATCTGTGTAGTGCATTGTGGCGCCATCCACCACTAGGCCACAGTCAATAAGAAGGAATGACTTCTCTAGAACCTTGTTCACATGATTCATAATCAAATCAGATTTAAGATGATCATCAAGTTTATTGGCTTTCAAAATTAGTCAGCTGTTACATGGACGGAACTTCTACAGATCACCGCTGGAGCGCAACGATTCCCTTTGAGGATTTTTGGAAGTAAAGGCCAAGGCCGCTGAATTGACACAATATCGCTGTCCTGTAGGCATTGGTCCGTCGTCGAACACATGACCAAGATGGGCTCCACAGTGTGAACACACAGCCTCCACGCGTTCCATTCCTGACGATACCAAAATCCTAATTTTACTTTTTGCTCTACTGGTAGTCAGTTTTCTTTGTTAAAGGATCATTTGATAGGCTGTCATTATTGATAGTGTCTAAAGCATGTGTGCAGAGCCTTAGGTATCAACACCAACATTTCATTCAACCATGTTTGGCATGACCAGGTTTCAAATTCTTTTTTCTTGATTTTTCCAATTGCTGGTGAAGATATCACTTGTCAGGAAAATGCAAAATAGATAAGTACGAAAGGAGATAAGTGTCATTACGAATGACAACTCATTCATCATTTCAAAATTTCAAGTGACTTAGGCATTAATGATTTTTAGTTTGATAAATATCCCTAAGCAATTGTTTAATTACTTTGTCTTAATTTTAAATTTAGGGCATAATACATGTCATGTTAGGTCATGAAGCAAGTCCTTCATCAACTTCCCTGATGTCTGTGAGGTTTTGGTACATGAATAACAAAGCCAAAATTGTCAAAATACAAATTTCTTATCAAAGAGTTAGGGAAGATAACTCTTTTGTAATAAAGGGAGGTAACTCTCAGAACACTGAAAACATCTACACTTTACTATTGGATGCAATTGTGACATCAGCTGTCCTGCCTAACCGATTTTGTGGTATTGAATTTTTCAGTATCAATCCCTGAAGGGAGGTGACTCTGTTTCATATCTCACCTTGTGACGTGTCATCTTTGAGCACCACCCTGTCCTTGTTGACGACATCGTAGAAGGAAGGCCACCCAGATCGGGAGTTGTATTTGGTGTCTGAGGAGAAGAGGGGGTTGCCGCAGACGACGCAGTTGTACATGCCCTCATCCTTCGTGCTCACAAACTTCCCGGAGAAGGGTCTGCAGTGCAAATAATGATGCCATCATCATCTTTCTCCATCAGTACAGCGTAAGAAATTAGGACTAGTCCTGTAGTCCTTGTCAAACTGCCCAATAGTTAAGGTATCATAAGGACTAGTAGAAATTTGCCCTTTTTAAGGGTTTTGCAGTATGTTATCATGATAAGGACTAAAGTACTATGTATCCCACCAAGAAGGTAAAAAAAATTCTGAGCGGGACAACAAATCTTTTATACCCCGCCACGAGGAAAACAGCCTGCACGTGGAATCCTCTGTACCCCACTACAAACCAAAAGGCTGAAGTTGTTAACGAGTCAATGAAAATCATGTGACCTCAGCCAAATCGAATAACTGTTTTCTATCAGTTTTCAATTAGTTTTAATTCTTTTACAATGGCAGATTGAAACATGTCGGTGAGATCAATTCACTGTAGACATATAACGACTAATGGACTAAACATGTTAGTTTCTACCGCTGCAGTATGAACCTAGTCAAGAGCTCTCAGAACTAAACATTTAAGCTTAAGTCACACTTTGTATTTTAATGTGTAACAGTGGTAAATCCCTTGTCCGCTGTGCCCCATGTTTGTTAAAAGAGTGAGTGAGTGAGTGAGTGAGTGAGTGAGTGAGTGAGTGAGTGAGTGAGTGAGTGAGTGAGTGAGTGAGTGAGTGAGTGAGTGATCCCCTTTGGGAGGAAAGCCCGAAGTTATGCACGTCTCGGACGTTTACCACTTCATGAAACCCACGAGCTCGGGCATGCTGCTTACAAACCTGTAAACATTATCGAGGTGAACGGGGTTATACCCAACAAATACAAGACTATCTGCACTGAGAACTGTGGTGCCTTTGACAACTGGGCAACCCATGCCCCCAATTGTTTAAGAGTTGACAAAGGATCTTGTGTCTACAATGTGTGACCTGGCTGCCATCATGTCTCCTATGCTGTTATTATTTACAGCTGGAATATTGGTGTAACACAAAACTCTAGCATTCACTCACCTCTCCGTGCCCCGTTCTTGGGTCACATGGTATTCTAGCGGTGTCAGCCTCTCTTTCAGTTCCTCCTTGGCCAGCGCCACCTGGCAGGAGTTCTCATCGGCACATGATGCCTGGAGTTTCCGGATCTTGGGAGACACCTCTTGCTTGGTGGTGACGGCGTGGAGGATGTTCATACAGACGAATGTCAAGACCCACCCATACACCAGCATCCGCAGCGATGGAAGACTGAAACAAAGGAAAACAACTGTCAAGAAACACACACCAACTTAACATGATCTACCTGGGTCTATATTTTCGAGTCAAGGCAACTCTCAGAAATAAATAAATCTCTGCTGTGATATTGCTGCAATATTTTTCAAAATGATGTAAAACCATACTCAATCACTCACTCGTTCAGAAATAAAAGCATGAACATGGGAGATCCAGGCTGGCAAAAAGCGACAATCTTAATTTTAAAAGACATTACTAATAAATAACATACCGTATTTGACGTAATAAGCGCCCAGGGCGCTCTCAAAATTAGAAATAGGGGGCTCAGAGTTGAAAGATAAATTTTGTGGTTTATGCTGACAGGCTGACTGTTTATATACGACAGATATATTTTTCCAGAATTTAATTGCCCAAAGTTAAGGGTGCATATAACACACGAGTGCGTATTATACACGAATAAATAAGTCTTGCGTACATTGATCATTCGGAAGGGGTGCTACTTGGGATTGTTCACTTGCCAGTAGATTAGCAAATATCGCCGTGGGCGCTTATTAGAGCAGGGCGCTCATTACATCGAATACAGTATTTTATCTAACCTCCATCTCAGAATGTTGAGATCTGATTGGTTCACATGATCTTGATAAAGTACTATGTATTCCGCCTAGGAGGGAAAAACATTCTGAGTGGGCAACAAATCTCTTATACCCCACCACGAGGAAAACAGCCTGCACGTGGATTTCTGTGAGGGAGAATAAATCCTGTTTCCCACTAAAAAACAAAAAGCTGGAGTTGTTTACGAGTCAATGAAAATCATGTGACACAGCTCAAATTGACCTTAGCTAAATCGAACAACTGTTTTCTATCATTTTCAATTTATTTTATTTTTTTACAATGGCAGACTGGAACATGTCAGTGAGATCAATTCACTGTAGAAGTATCTGCTACAGTAGATACTGATACAACTTATAATAGCTTGCATCTAGGTTAACCTGGTAAAGCCCTGTGTATTATCAGACAGTTATGAGTTTAAAATCCCAAGTCTACCCTATATGTTGTCTGTGATCCTCGTAACTTCATATGGTCCTCATATGTTTCATCAAAGCAGCAAACACAACCAAACAGACTTTTCACCTTCACAACAGATGACCATCTTCCCGAGGCAAGGGAGTTAACTGACTATAAAAGTCCAGTTTCCACCCTTGCCGAACTATAAGGCAGGAATTATGGAGTTACAATTTGGCTGGACTAACGAGTCTATGCATAGTCCAATCAAAATCGCGCAACGAAATCAAAATCCAATTGGTAAACTGTCATGCCGATAACAGTCGATTGCAGGATTTGCAAAGCATGTGCACCACCAACTCGTTGTCTACAGATATTTGCCAAATCTTTTCATGTTTTAAAGGTGCTCGCGTGATTTGATGCACTTCTCTATGTAAGACCCTTTTTATCACAGTATAGATCTTGATTATCAATCAGATCGTCTTGCCTGGCGCCGCCAATTTATTTGAAACAAATACAAGTGATACGAGAGGTGAAATATGATTGGTCCATAGGAGATGCTTAGAAGTGACATAACTCGCAATAACCACGGGTGGCGCTATGATCAAGTCGAGGAATTCCAGCCTTGTTCGGCAAGTGTTGAAACTGGACTTTTAAAGTCAGTTAACTCTCTTACCTCGGGAAGATGCAGACAGTTATGTGTTTCAAATCCAAAATCTACCCTATATGTTGTCTGTGATCCTCGTAACCTCATATGGTCCTCATATGTTTCATCAAAGCAGCAAACACAACCAAACAAACTTTTCACCTTCCATGCCATGCCAAGATGATAACATAATACAGCGAACCTAGACTAACACTTAGTCTTGGAAAATATATAGTAGATTCTATACTATAGCATATAACAGTAAGGGCTGGGTGGAGGGGTAAATACTAAACAGCGACTGTGAGACAGACTAGCAGCTGACTGATGAGCATTGAAGACCCAGGCCATTGGCACTGCAGCTGCCACTGGGATCATGCATCCATACTGCAGGTCACTCCACACCACAGCAGGTCACTCCACACTACAGCAGGTCACTCCACACGACAGGTCACTCCACACCACAGCAGGTCATTCCCCACCACAGCAGGCCACTCCACACCACAGCAGGTCACTCCACAACACAGCAGGTCACTCCACATGACAGGTCACTCCACACCACAGCAGGTCATTCCAAACCACAGCAGGCCACTCCACACCACAGCAGGTCACTCCACACCACAGCAGGTCACTCCACACGACAGGTCACTCCACACCACAGCAGGTCATTCCACACCACAGCAGGTCACTCCACACCGAAGCAGGTCATTCCACACCACAGCAGGTCATTCCACACCACAGCAGGTCACACAACACCACAGCAGGTCACTCCACACCGCAGGTCACTCCACACCACAGCAGGTCACTCCACACCACAGCAGGTCACTCCACACCACAGCAGGTCACTCCACACTACAGCAGGTCACTCCACACCACAGCAGGTCACTCCCCATCAAGCAGGTCACTCCACACCACAGCAGGTCACTCCCCATCAAGCAGGTCACTCCACACCACAGCAGGTCACTCCACACCACAGCAGGTCATTCCACACCACAGCAGGTCACTCCCCATCAAGCAGGTCCCTCCACACCACAGCAGGTCACACCACAACACAGCAGGTCACTCCACACCACAGCAGTTTATTCCACACCACAGCAGGTCACTCCACACCACAGCGGGTCACTCCACACCACAGCAGGTCACTCCACACCACAGCAGGTCACTCCCCATCAAGCAGGTCACTCCACACCACAGCAGGTCACACCACAACACAGCAGGTCACTCCACACCACAGCAGGTCGCTCCACACCACAGCAGGTCATCCACACCACAGCAGGTCATTCCCCACCACAGCAAGTCGCTCCACACCACAGCAGGTCACTCCACACCACAGCAGGTCACTCCACTCCACAGCAGGTCACTTCACTCCACAGCAGGTCACTCCACACCACAGCAGTTTATTCCACACCACAGCAGGTCACTCCACACCACAGCAGGTCACTCCACACCACAGCAGGTCACTCCACTCGACACCACAGCAGGTCACTCCACACCACAGCAGGTCACTCCACACCACAGCAGGTCACTCCACAACACAGCAGGTCACTCCACACCACAGCAGGTCGCTCCACACCACAGCAGGTCACTCCCCATCAAGCAGGTCACTCCACACCACAGCAGGTCACACCACAACACAGCAGGTCACTCCACACCACAGCAGTTTATTCCACACCACAGCAGGTCACTCCACAACCCAGCAGGTCACTCCACACCACAGCAGGTCACTCCACTCCACTCCACACCACAGCAGGTCACTCCACACCGCAGGTCACTCCACAACACAGGTCATTCCACACCACAGCAGGTCACTCCACACCACAGGTCACTCCACACCACAGCAGGTCACTCCACACCACAGCAGGTCACTCCACACCACAGCAGGTCACTCCACAACCGCAGGTCACTCCACACCACAGCAGGTCAATCCACACCACAGCAGGTCATGCTGACAACCCAGGACGTAATATTACCCATCAACAGATCAGTGATAGCTGTGGACCCAGGTTGCATCAGGGGAAGAATTAGGTCCCCAGCAACCTATGCTTGTCATACCAGGCAACTAAATGGATCAGGTAGTCAGGCTCAATGACTTGGTTGATAGCATGTCATTGATGTCAGTTTTGGGATTGATACTCATGATGTTGATCCTGGATTGTCTGGTCCATACATGATTATTAACAGACCAGTCTTAGAGATTGAATATTTGCAAATATCCGGAGTATAGAGTTAAAACAAACAAACAAACTAATCAGTGTGTATTGGAAAAAGCATTCTCAGCTCCCTGGGGAGTATACAACAAAAGCTGCCTGAAGGCGTGAGACAGTGTGGATTGAAGTCTGCATCTTTACCTACCTTCCTATTCTATTTAAAAACACATCAGTAAATAAGAGCAATAATCTTGAACATTAAACGTTAAACATTTTGAATTAGTCACTTACCAACTAAACAAGCTTTTCTTCAATGTGGACACAACTGGAAGACAACGAACTTGGGAGCCAATTTTCCTGAGTTTATTTTCCCGTTCACTTCCTTCAAGTAAACTACCACAACTGATATACACAGAATGCTGTGATGATTATTTCTGCTCTTGGTTCACCACAGGAGGTTATAGAGAACTATTCCGCCTCAGATCTACAGCATGTTTAATCAAACTAAATGTATCATATTCCTTTGCAATCAAGTTCTTTTCTCTGTCGATTCATACGAGGATAGTGTTACTAAAAGGAACAATGTGTGACTGCCCAAATAACGCATCAACTGTGTTCATGTGGCGCACATCCCTGGTTTTTCCAGCATGGGTTATTGCCTGTTCATTGATTACCTCCACAGCAGTGGGAAACCAGGCCAGAACATGACACATACAACATAAACCATCAACAGATGGGGCACACGCTTTCACCAGGTGCTGCTGGCCAACAACTAATAACAAGTCATCCCTACATGTTCATAGCTGCAATCGCTTTTGTACCTATTGCATATGTACCACTTGCCTGCAACTAATTACAATTGTCACCTCCATTCCTGATCATAAATGTGCATGCTTTCTCATGAACCACTAGCCTACAACTAATTACGCTTGTCGCCTCAATTCCTGACCACAAATGTGCATGCTTTTTCATGTACCACTTGCCTGCAACTAATTTAAATTGTCATCTAATCTCTTGGTCATAAATGTGCACACTTCTTGCATATACTACTTGCCTGCAACTAATTACACTTGTCGCCTCCATTCCTGGTCACAAATGTGCATGCTTTTTCATGTATTACTTGCCTGCAACTAATTACAACCTCTGCCTACATTCCTGATAACAAATGTGCATGCTTTTTCATGTTCTATTTTCCTGCAACAAACTAACTAATATGACCTCCT